ATTGTTTTATATAAACATATACTGTAAAATAATAGATAAGGCAAAATTGTAAAATTAATTTCGGATGGTATACCTGTATGGGTGGTATGCCTGGATGGTTTATCTGTATGGGATACTTATATAGCATAAATAGGGCTAGCTCGCATTAGTTTCTAGTTTTAATCTTCCTCTTTATAGATGATCACTTGGTGAACGAAACACGTGTCGAGGTGTTAAAAATAACGATTTGGTGTTGGGAAATAACTCCATTAATATTCATTACTATACCAAAGGTTCCAAACAGTGCATCATAAGTATATAATACCTCACATCTACATCGGTTTTTGAGAAAACAAGTTCAATAATGGTGATCTATTCAAATCTAATTGGTAATTCATCAGAATGTTTGAATTTTTAAGTTTATTAATTTCCATTGCTTCCAAATGATTCAGTTTCAAACCTTTATTTTGTATGTGCAAAATTTCGAAATTTTGTTAAAGATATGATTTTTTTCTAGAAGGTCATTTGAATATGTTGAATTTGTTTTCTTATTGACATAACTCGTATAATGATCCTGGATTCGATTCCTTAGGGTACGTTTCACAATTTAATTCATATACCCCTGATTTCTGGAATTTGGATGTTTTGTCTCGTTTCCTCAAAAATGAAGCCACTTTATTCATTGGTTGTTCAAAAAATGTTAAAGCTCTATTATGATTATATACCTTATCAATAGGAAAAACGTCTCGAATCGCTTTTGCGTATACTTTTTGGCAAGTATTTTGTTTATTAATTCGGCTTCAAACCCATTGTTAACCGCAATTTGCGTGATGATATTAAGTTCTTTATTGAAATTATCTATTGAAAAGGGAACATTAACTAATATGTGAATCATGCCATTATAAGCTGCTACTTGGTGTTAAGGATGGGTAGAATCGTAATGTAAAGTAATATCCGTATAGGACGGTTTGTGTTATTGTGAGATTTTCACCGAACAGTTTTATAGAAACACAGCCGCAACAGAATCAGTCATTTATCTAATTAGGTTTTGTGTATACCTACTGTAATATAAAAGACATTGTAGAATAGTTTGATGTACCACTTCAACTGATGAAACTATCTGTTTTGAATAAAATTCATAGCGTAAAAATTGTATAATTATTGACATGGGTTGGATTATATAAGTATATATTCAGAAACCTTTTGAACTCCTTCAACTTCTACTTACTTTCCCATTCCGGCAGGGACCAAGTTTACATTTATTAGGAAATACTTAGAACGCCAAGATTGATGATGAATGAATTGAATAATGAAAAAGTGGTTTTTGCTTAAAGCGAATTCCATGGTAAATACCGACAATAATGTCTGTTTCAACTTCGTAACAATTTCAATTAATTTCAGTATTGATACTGTCCTCAACTCATGCAATTTGGCCCCCAATTGGTTTAAATAACATGACATCTCATTAGTTGAAATTACTTGGATATTTGGTTACTGCTTCCCACGCACCACAACCGCCTCTCCCACGCAAATCTGAACTTTCACCTGGAATTATTGATTAATTCCTTTGTTTTTACCAATTGCTAGATTAAATAAATATTTTCAAAAATTACCTGATCCTCAGCCGACGGTCCTGTAGCTTCAGAAACGAAATTTTTGTTGTGAACCTTGCCTTTTTCTGAGTTTTACAGGTGGGCAGTACTTTCAAAAATAGTTACTACCCGTTCTTTAAAACCCCAAAAAACTGCAGTATCAGCTGCTCGATCTTCCTCAATGAACTTGCATACCTACCGCAATATTTGTACTTGACCGAGAATTTACGATCTACTATGTAGCTCAACGATCACTGACAGAATCATGAATGAAGCTTGGCATGAATGGAACTAGCCCAGCTCCATCTAATATTAGGCGCAGCACGGATTGGATGTGAAAATATGGATTTTTTTTCACTTATTATAGTTTACTGTTTGGGTAAGGACCTTACCGGTATAATGTTGATCTAATCAAAACTAGATGGCGGCACTATATGGAATACGATTTTTTGTTCAGTTGTAATTACATTTCTCATGCTACTGAAATTTATACTATTTCCTTAATTTTGATCCTTATTTTCGGAAGCAATATTTATTTAGATAACTGTAATTTGAAAACAATAATTTCACTAAGTCGAAAGGATGGTTTAGCTTCGATTTGGATATATATTGCAGATATGGGATCTTTGACTTCTTCTGTGGTGCTATGTCATTTCTCACCCCTTAGGAGTATACAGTAACGTGTCATCAAATCAACTCTTTGTGAACGACACTTTATAGGTACGTGACATTGTGAAATGAGAGTTCTGTCGCCCTGTCAGACTTCCCATACATTTTTCGTGAAGTAGGCAGACATGAATATATCCAATATGGGTTCATTTTCTGCTATTTTATTAGTCATGAAATAAGCTAGGTGATATCTGAATCTGAAGCCTCTTGCGCTCATGTGAGACCCACGGTTTTGTAGGTATGTGTGTCAAATACTCGACGGAAACATTCTCTCACAAGAAATTATATCATACTCTGAATAAGAAATGAAACTTCAATCATAGGATTGTTTATATATAAGAAATCAAGAAAACCGCGAATGATCTTACGTTTTTTCTGTAATTCACACTGTGAGGCAAGGAAATACGAACCTCGGCTATCCTTTCAACGTGTATGAAGAATGACGAATTTCGACGTTTGGTTATTCTTTCAGTAGATGGCACGCCTGTATCTAAGTATCTATGGTTAAGAAACTATTGGAGATACTTCAATGTAGACAAGATGTATCTCTCAGTTTTATTTTTTTTCATTTATGTTAGGCTGGCATGTATAAATCGGATAGGCTCTTAGTAAAATTATAAAAATCTATTTTCTGCTTCACCTCTGTTGATGAAGGTAAAAAAGTAATTCTCTCTCTCTGTGTTAGCGTTAGCTTTTGCTTTTGCTTCCATTGAGGCTCAGTATTAACTTTTCATTAGTAGATGTCGCAACTATACAGTTATTTCATTTTCTTGAAGTTTGAACAAGGTGTATTTTTTAACTTTTCATAGAACTGAGACACAATACATGGTGTTTTCTCTTAACCATAAAGTAGTATTTAAATCATACTGCCGTCTTTTGTAGGGAATAATCAATTATTTGTGGACCACTAAAATACCTGTGATTCTTTTTCCAGAAATGTTTTTTAAGAGTTGAAGCAAACTTGAGATCAGATTCAAGATTAACGAATTAAAATATGTAGGTAAGTTTAGAATTTTTTTGAAATTGTTTGTATCCAATGGTATCACTCGAATACTCATTATATCAATCAATCAATTACGTATTGAAATTTTCGAAAATTTAGCTACTATTTGTGATATTGAAGCTGAAATAATAATTTTGGTCTTTTAATATATTAATTTCAATTTATTGCGCACTTCTAACGCAGTTATTCTGTTAGAAAACTGCTGAAATTGGCTACCGCAATATGAAAATACAGATATCATCATAACAAATCTTCTGCGGTCCAAATAACAGATTCTATCAGGTCTACAGAAGTACCAAAATAAAACTATATGAAATGAACCAAGTAAAAAATAATTCAAGACTATAATTCTATATGAAAAATTTCAGTAGAACGAACACACCAGTTCAATAGCAGACATCGTATGACCATAATGTAGTGACAAACTTTGAAAGATGTATCAATATGCAACATTCTACTTGTTTGTCCAGGTGGAAAAATTAATTTCAACATATGTACTTGAAGCTTTCCTAGTGAAACTGCAGTGAATTAAAAAATATATTAGCAAAATGATTCAGTAATTGACCATTGTTTAGTGTACAAATTTGGTATCCTAGTACCAAATTTTCACTCAAAATACATTTACTTTTCAAGTGGTTTTGTTTCACGTATTCACGTACTATTTGTTCTTAGCTTATAGCTAACAGAACAGTATACAAATAACAAAACACAGAGAACTTTTGGATTGTTTTTACTTTGGAAAAAAACAACTGTTATGTAATATATCGAAACGAAAACACAGACTACCTTACAGAAGATAGACTCATCTGTGCCACCAAAATGGTCAAGTTTCTGTGACATATATCCTGTGTTAGAGATGTTTCGTCATTTTTGCCGGTAAATTCAAGTTATTTGAAACTTATTGGATAAATAATTTATTTGCAGCTGAGAAATTATCAAGATGTCATCTCGACAGTTTGTAGGCCAACATTTCAATCTAACCAGCTCCATTTACCATGTATGCGTGGTAACAATTTGACGAAATTTTTAGGTTGACAATAATCACCTCAAGATTGTTGAAAATTCATGGTTCGTGTTACGTCCTGGGTGTCTCTTCTTTAGGTATTCTGTATTGAAGACCTCCAAAAGCTAAATAAAATGACACCAGTTCCAATTGGTGAAATAATATAGATATATATGAGACGCTTTGTTTTGTACTTACAACTAAATATGACTCTTGAAAAAACGTGTCGAATTTTTTAGTTCCGATAATTTCATATTTTCAATCTACAACAAATGTAGTTTTTGTGATATGATGTTTTCATGATGGCACTTGTCGAGATGGAAAACTATCTCCGAAATATTTATTTCATTCTGTATTAATCTTTGTTTGTATACTTCCATGTCATACTTCATTAGCTGTTTTCGGATTTCTTAGGCGTGTTCTGCAGGTTTTAAGGTCTGAGGTTAGGTCAGACATTATCAAAAGACGTGGCAATGGTTAAAGTGAACTTTGCTGCGATACAGCAACTGAAATTGATCCTCCATACGTGCTTGGTCTGATTTGTCTTCAATTATTGGGAGAATCTGTTATATATTATATAAACCTTCACGACTTAGAAGACTGAAATCAGTCAATGCTTTTCGTTGAAGCCTCCACAACATGGTATTTTGTTTTGTTGATTAAATCAATTTGTGTATCCATCTTCTACAAAGTTTATCCATATCACGATATGCAAACTCAAGATTGAGACTGAGGGGTAATATAAAAGCCAAAGTAATTTTAATTAATTATATTTTTGTAAAGACAAAATATTACAATAAACTATATATTAAAGAAGTACATTGTCCTAAACTAAATAAAAACTATACAATATTGTATTTAAAAATCAATAAAATCCTTATTCTAAGGTAGGTATTTCTGTTATGTAATAAAAATTATCCTATATTTACAAACTGTTTCATAATATTTCTATTGCATTATCTCCAAATTCAGATATTCCTTATTGGTCATAGAAATTTGTTGATTCTTAGTGATGTATTCTAGTGAAATCATAGCAAATCAGAAGGAAAAGGTATGGATGGAAAAAATTTTGTTTTTTTTTTGATAAATATCGGAACAAACAAAAAACATTCATGAATATAATGATTAATCGCTAAAAAGATGACAGATAACAATCATGCAGACATATCACATGTTATTTGGACGATAAGTCAACAATTTTTTTTTGTTTGTTGTGCACAACTTACACGAATACATCTATTTGATTCTACACAATTCTTAGGTAATAGATATAAATTTTCACTGGAAGAAATCCTGGGTTATATTATTTAAATTCTATGTTTTGTCCTGATTTGCGCTGAGTTAATTAAGAGTTCAAGACACATTATTCTTTAGGTACATAGGTTAATTATATAAAACAGAATTTAGAATCCACTAAAATTACAAAAATCACAGAAAGTTACAAAAAATTTACAAAAAAAAAAACTTAAATGTGATATTTCGAAATTATTAGAATAAATACTATACAGAATGTACACTTATAATAAATTACAATTTGAAAAAGTTCTAAATGACCCAAATTTCTCTCAACGTAAGTACGAAAAACTTTATATGTACATTTTTTTGAGTGTTTTTGAAAAATTATCTAGAGCCTTCCCGAAAAAAGGTATCAAAGGCAATCAATTTTATCAAACTCACGTTTATTTTTTTAATATTCCTGTGTACATACTGAGATCAGAAACCAAAACTATTTGCCACTCTGTAAAGTTATACAATTAAAGAGAGCTATTCATTGACATTCAATTGTTCTCTTGTCAATCGCTAGGCACCTCGCAGTCTTTTCTTATCCATTTTTAAAGCACCTTCCATTTCATCAAAAATCGGTAACAAAATTTAGAAAAAAAGACTTTCTCAAAATACCTTGTCCTTTTCTTATCACATTTCACTCATATCCGACGTTTTATTACTATTATAATTGATATTTTTTATTTAAAATTTAGGTATATTCATAAAAATCTATTATATAACAATTTTTCACTATTCCATACTAAACAAACAACAGATAGATATTCCGTTGATTCACTTATAAACTTTTTATTTACAGGTCAACTTTTTTAAACTCCAGTAATAAGACTTGATCAAACAAATCATCTGTTATTTTTGTACAACATGTAAATATTAAAAGCACTTTAAATGCAACATTGAACATGTGACTGAACAGTCATTTCAAATGTAAATATAGTAACGCGTCCAAAGGACTGTCGCGAGTCCTGCGGACGATCTTCATTCAAATGCTCAAGTTTTTGGTCTGATTAAGATTAAATGCTATGCAACGTATGAAATAGTGGGGGGATTACATAGTTGGAAAATTTCACCACAACCTTAACGGAAATCTCTTCTATCCAATCACAACCTCGTTGTATCCTTACAGGTCACCTCAAAAGTCTCGCTACCATCACTATGAGATCTTTCTAAGTGGATAATTCGTTGTTGACGTCTTTGTTTTTGAGTCATAGCTAATATATACAATCTGATAGACGATTTCATCTAAATAAATAATTTGTGTTTTGTTGTACTTTCGAGACAGCAGGCTCTCAAACCGGCTGGGAAGTTTATTGGCGACCACTTCACGCTGCTCCTGTACAATCTATTTCCACTATGTCCTTAGGAACCTCAACGAATTGGTACACCAACCTCTGCCCGTCTACTTTTGCTAGGATTCCCCTCTGGTAGTAATATCTCAGAGCTCTCCCCATGGTCTCGTAGTTCATGTCGGGTTTGTTCTTGTGCATTCCCCACAACCTCGACACGGCTTTCGAATCTACCAGCTTGAAGACTCCCTTCTCCCTGTTGGTCCACTTGATATACCTCGGGCAGTATTCCCTGTCCTGGAGCAGCTTCAGCAGAAACTCCCAGAGATACGTCGTCGATCCCTCCCTGCTTTTCCTTTTCACCGTTCCGGGTTCTCCAAGCTTTTGTTTTTTAACTTTCTTCAGCTTTCTCGGGGAGAAACCCAGCATGTAGGGATCGTCGTATATACTACTGGTAGCTGCTTGGATGACTGAGGTGGGGATGGAGTGCCTGATCGGGGGAGAGGGAGGCGACGGTGTCGTGAATGGTGATTGGTTGTGGTGATGCATGTGATGGGACTGCTGGACTTGGTGTTGCTGGAGAAGGTATCCGTTGTAGGGATCCAGATCTGTAACAAAAGAAAACCATGTTAGATCTTATGTAGTTATTAGGAATACACGCTATTTTATGAAAATAAATATCTTGGAGTTGATTCATTTCTGAAATAGTCTAAAAAGGTGCAGACTTCGGTATCTGGAAATAATGAAAGCAAGGATAACATGAGAATCAGACCATCAGCAGCATTACAATCTTGAACCTACTCCGTTCATATCGGATAGTGGAAAATATCGCGACCTACAAGACATTAGGAGAATATATCTGGAAACATGAACACACACAGAAAAATCCTAATGAAGGAGGGAAAAATCTGTTCAACAGAGTGGGGAAACCTTTATAAAGAAGAACTGCTTCAACAGAATTGACTTCAAGGACATTATGATTTTTACCAAAAATATCAATCAAGTAACCATTTGCGATGCCACTGGAATTAAAAGTCCAAGTCTATCTCTGTATCTGTAGAGTAGGGAGGGTGAGTGTAAGCCCACGCACTTAGGCCACATGTGACCCATTGTACATCCTCCCGAGGAGTTGTCCTCCTAGGTCATCGTCCATCTTGTCCTTTCCAGGAAGGTGGACAGGTCGCTGTCGAACACACACTATCTTATTGACGATAACTCCTCAACCACATGGTGAAGGGCCGAATCAGTAGACCTTCCCGGGGTATATGCATGCTGATTTGGATGAAGTGGGTTGTTAACAAGTACTTCATCTCTTATATACCGCTCACATAGCCTCTCCATGGTTTTTAAGAAAAACGATGTGAGGCTAATTGGCCGGAATGCTTTTGGTAGGGTGTAGTCCATCCTACCTGGTTTGGATATAAATACTACTCTTACTAGAGCTAGAGAGGCTCCGAATATTCCAAGTCCAAGTCTAATTTCATATCAAACACAGGTAGTTTAATAAAAATCGGCACGATAATAATTGTGAGCTATTTATTGATAAAGAACCATATTTTTAGTAAAACTATGGCACTCTGTTACTTGGAAAAGAGGAATCAAGTTAGGACACACGTTCATACGAAGAAGCAGATAGTTTTCACACTTCTTTTAACAATTATTAAACTTCATCTAGATAAAATTGTAGTCGGCATCTCTTTGTCAATTTACACCTCTCATTTAAATAAGGAAAACGTCATTCCAATAACCAAGCGCTTCCTTCAAAAATGCAAATGTAGGATTCGAAGAAAGAAGGCCCACGGTAAATAAACGACAAAGGCGGAAGGGCTGAAATACCCTTTGTATTCGGAAAAGTAGGTCATGTGAAGGCGGTATGCTATTATTGTATGGGGTTGAGCTGTGCATACAGGTAGATCAACAGGCAGGGTGTGTGCATGTGAGAGGGATCCCCGGAAATCAATTATGTTGAGGAGGGTGTTTACCAAACAGGTAGTCCACTGATTTGTCTTCGCATTTTACTAAATTATAGGCTCTGTCGGAGTGCCGTGTCGCTTTAGAAAACTAAAAAAAGCATCAGAATTATTAATAGGGTCGCTATCTAATTCTCTTTCCCACGCATATAAAGTATAATTTCTTTATTACCTGGTTGAGTATTAATAGTGCACCTGACGAGATTCGATTATGTTTTGTTTAACGGAGAACGCGTTTTTAGAATATTCACGATGTTTGAGATACTATAATCATTATCAGTAGAAATCATGGGATCCTATCATTTGGTTGACTGAATCATAATTTTTATTGCATAAACGTGACATTTCAAAAATCTAAATTATCAGTCATCAGACGTTCACATATTCGAAATGTTTCAAAAATATTAATATGAAAGATTCGATTTATTTTAAATTTGGTGTTATTCTTTACATTATAATTCATTTTATTTTTGGGAAAGGTTTTGGCTTCCTACATCTTCATCTTCATACAAAAAAGTGGGAATCTTCTTTTTTGTATAAAGACGGAGACCTTTCTTTCAAAAATTATTCTCCCCTAAAAATATACCCCACTCAATTCAAACAAGATATAAGATATAAGTATATTCAACTCATTCGTGACATGAAGTCGTACTTCAGTAGATAAATTGAGTGCTTTATCTCGTTATGTTATCCACATTGGTGCTGAAGATGCAATAATGCAATTGTCTTATTCCGAAACATCAGATATCCGCCATTGAGGATGAAAAATGTAAGTGAAATTTTACTTCTTTCTTATACTATATTGTGTAGCAATCCTGCGGAAGAGATCTGGTTCAATTCAATAAGGAATGTTTGGAGTGCAAATTAACTGAATAGAAAAAAGTGTTTTTGTATAATTCAATAATTATATGAAAGTAGTTGTTTTGAGAGAACTGTTTCTTTCAGTTTGAATGTGAAAGCTTGTTCTGAGGAAGAAAAAAGTTTGAGCCTTCTGCCGTTAGCTGTAAATGATCTGTTTAAAAATCTGCTTAAAATCTGTTTTTCCGACAACCCTGAAAAGTTGAGAACTTGTGCGAGCTAAGGACTAACGAGGTCTTACCTTTTAACGTGTGATTCCTAACACTAGAATCAAAAATAAATAGAGTTATCAACAATAAATCCAAAGAAATGAACTTTGAACGTTCAAGCCAGTCTCGGATATACCTACACAGTAGTTTGAATGGACTGACGCCTATCAGTAAACAACTACTCCCCTGGCTAATACCACGTTGGATTATATCAGAGACTCGCTTGAACGTTTAAAGTTCATTTCTTTAGATTTGTTTACTGCCAGGGTTCAAGCATAGCCCACTGACTAATAAGGAAGTGTTTCTTCCTTATTCAGAGAAATCGGGCAAATTTCGGGTATGCAGTTGGTTAGTACCTCGCCCACTAGATGGAGTGACATTTTGTTGTTCGCTCCAACTTAGGAAGAGGAATGAATTACTCTGAAATAATTCCGATTTTCAATTATGGAATATTATTGACTTTAGGTCGATGATGGCCACTAGCTTGCACATACGTTTACTGCCAGGCTTCAAGCATAGCCCATTGACTAATAAGAAAGTTTATCAAAAATATACTCATCATTATACTCAAAAATTATAATTTTGTGTATCGGTAAGATTTGTATATGCCATTAACGTGACGAATAGTTGACATACACGATTCTTCAGCCTATTTTTTATTACAACGTCTTTACCAACATCTTTACATTACGATTAACATTTTTTTACAATAACACCAATGAGAATATGCAGAATATTAGTCATAACTCGAAATTATTTCTGTTATTTATGTGCTAATTTTCCGTGCATGGACGGAATTTTTCCAATCCAGTATGAATTCATTTGTGTATAGGACTTGCACTTTTGTTTTTTATTTCTTCATCGATATCAAAATAACAGCAAACTTCGTAAAATAGAATTTATCGAATGAATTTGATGAAAGAAGGTGGGGGTTTTACTATCCTTCAGGATAAAGAAGAAGTACAAAATTCATAACAATCAGCTTGAGTTACGAAATATATATGTATCAGTATGACCAGTTTTCAATTCAAAAAAGTTTTCAATGTAAAAAGGAGCAGTTTTCAAACTGAAATCAATGTTTTATCTTTGCCACTTCTGTGAGACATACTTGAAATGATAATTACGATCTGTTTGCATATTCAATCAAGTGAGTCAAAACATACTGCAAGCTATTTTGTCAGTGACACTGTCCCGTAATTATCGACTAGCTGATGAACGTTATGGAAGATGCTCCGAAATTTTTACCTGGACGTACTTTACAAAGTCACCGGTCCGTTGATCTCTTGTTTTGACGGCATCGAACCCGAAAGGAAGCAAACAAATTAATTTGCGAAAAAAACCATCAACTCCGGTTTACACGAAAAGACGGGTTTAATTCGACTTGTCAACAAAAGAACGGAACCCTGACTGAATATGTCGCTGTGTACTGTTGTGGCTCGATATTTTGTATGTAGTACGCTAGACGTTCGTGAAAGAAAAATAAATCCTCGTCGTTTGGACGTGATAGATGTGAAAACGCACTTTCATTCCATAGAGAGTTTCATGTTTATAAACAATATAATTATCTGTGCACCGTTTGAAAGCGTTTCAGAGAATTGTTATTAACACAGGCATTCAAGTAGGAATTTTGATCAATCTGTCATTAACTAATTGTAAAATGAAAATTCATGCTGAACAACATATAAAAAAATGTTGTTTGCAAAATTAGGTCATCATAAATAAAATGGAAATGTTGTATCATACAGATATAGACACAATTATATAATAAGTTTTTCCACTGGTGTTGATATTTTTGTTACAAAATTGCTGAATTTACCATGGCGACTATAAAACTTCAACTACTCAAAACCGTAATTTATACCGTAATCAAATATATCATTAGTATTTTTGAGTGAAAGTGCTGGTGTAATAATAAACCTCCATTTATATTTACCAATTAACAGTAAAAAAATGATTTCAGTAGTTGTTTCCTATGAATCTATCACGAAGTTCAATAAATTCAATAAAGTTATACAATTAATAAAACTATGTTTATTATTCTTGTAATAAATGTTGATTATAATTTGAGACTTTGTTTTCAAATTATTAAATTTTAATATAATTTAGAGAATAATTCCTGAATAATTTTATTTATTCAGGAACATCAAGTCATAAGGTAAATTTTTTAAAATACTTTTTTTCATATTTTGTTGCAGAGCTGCTATAGTGAAATATGCATTATACAGATATGGGCACGATTGATAAAAAATGTGCTATATAGTTGTTATAAATTTTATAATTGTTATCTGATTGCACCCTGTATATCGTTTTTTAGTTGACATTTTGTTCAGTGATCAAGGTTGATGTGGAAAAATAAGTTTGTTATAAAAATAAAGTTTTTGAAAGACGTCTAACTTTTCTAGAAGAACATAAAATTTCGTTCTTCGACCTGGAATAAATAATAATTTGCAAGTATTTCAAAAACAAGTTATTTTTTGAATACGTTATATTTTTCAGTTTGAGTAATGCGACAAAAAATCAAATAAATCATTAGTATTTTTGTGAAAAAATTTTAGTACAATAATAAACTTC